CAATGACTGCAGCATCCTGGAGTCATGTCATCACCATTTGCCACCTTTCTAGCTGGCTTCTGACAACAAAGTCAATGGGGAAAAGCTGGGTTCACTTAACAAGTGTGTGATGACATCTGTTATCTTTAATACTTCTAACATCATGTTCTTGAACTTTGTTAAATTATCATTCATATTGTTTATCATTCTGAATTGGGCAAAACTGCACAAGTTACTGATTTCAGATATGTTTGAGTTACAATATGATACCTATCAGGGTTGCTCACTTTCCCCTTTGCTTTTTGATTTAATCTTAGAATCCTTACTACTGATATTACTGGTATTACTTTTGTGAGTTTTGATTATAAATTATCTTCATATCCTGATATTTTACCAGCTAGTCTACTTCATTGCCAGTTTTTACATGGATGATTCAACATATTTCGGGATATTAAGTATAAAGAGAATAAATCTATTTTGTAATTACTGTATTAAATAATTTTATTTCAAATATTTTCTATTTCAAATAGAAATTTGTTTCCAAAATTTGTAGCATTAGCAACATAATCAACACAAGCATGTTTTAATGGCTGGATATGGGCCAAATTCTTTGGATTTGTCTAAGAAATCTGAATTGCTATTATATTTGATGGAATTGATGTTTGAAACTAAACCCACTTCATTTTATATCAAAAAATAAAGAATATTATAAAAGTTGACAATAAGGACATTCGTGCTAATGGATTAAAGAATTAGAACAGCTGATAATGGAACTTTAATGATTGTAGGTCTTAAAAATGTTTTTTTTCAATAGGTTTAAGATTAAAAGTGGCCCATCAAGATTTGATTTGGATTTACTAGACACACTAATTTATTTGAGAGGGTGAACATTAGATTTTCTTTGTTAGCTATGTAAAAAAAGTGAATAGTTATTAACTCTTATGACTTCATCTTGTGAAATGCTGGCAACATTTTAAAATATTTTAATGTACATAGGTAGATTTAATTCAGAATCCTTATGTCAACCCTGCAAATACTGTATATTGCTTTGACAATATGCAGAACTGTCTGGTATTTTTGGGGTTAATACAGAGCAGAAGAGGGTGGGGGTAAAGCCCGGGAAAGAAAGAGGAAGGAAACCTTTGACCTTCACACTAATTGGATAATGTGATATAGCTAATTTAGCTATAAATTAGCTAAATTAGAGAGGGAACATGCTGATAATTTAACTGCTCAGAGGAAGAGAACTTAGATCTTAGCATCAGACCCCGTTATGCCTGTGCCGACATTTTGAATCAATAAAAGATTTTTAGGGAAATCAATGCCTGGAAGTTCTTTGAAGTGTTTCATTAGCCGGAACCATAACAACATGCTAAAATCTAAGTTAGATCTTCTTTTGGGTTACGGTTCAATTTCAGGAAAGGGAGGCTTCTTATAGCGAGAGAGCTTAACATCCAGCTTCACTGCTGTCTGGTACCACTCCTGTAGCCGATCAGGTACTTCTTGATAAATGCAGGCCTGACCCCTCGATGAAGTGATGGATTAGGGACTGCTCAGGCCACCCCTCTATTCGACCTGCTATCTCCTCCATTTCGAGGGGGGACATGGCATACATTCTCAGTCGTGGAAATTTGGCTCCTGGCACTAGTTCGATGGAGCAGTCATTGGGTCTGTGAGGGGGTAGGGCATCACATTCCTTTTCACATTCCTTATGCCTCCCTCCCTCGACCATAACACCTTATGTTAAGGATGTTAATGTTATATTAAATTATGCCCCGAAATTTTGGATTCTGACTATTTTTGGGAAGTTACATACAGTAATATTATAACAAATTTAATTCAAATTTAATGTCCTTATTAATGATTAAATTAATGATGTTTTATATTGACGTTTTTATTGCCTGGCAGATTGTTAAGAAAATTAGTTTGAGAAATTGGAAAAGTAGTAATGTTACTGATTTTAGAATTGTATTAAAGAAATGTGTAATTTGCCTGTTTTGAAAAGACAATTATATCTACTAATACAAAAAGCTCAATATTCAAGACAACCAGGAAAAGTAAATTCATCCTGCTAATGCTGGTGTTCTTAAAATGGTTAAAATGGTGTTCTTATATTGTTCAGAATTCTATAGAATCCCTTTCATTACAAAATCCTAAAAGATGATGACCAACCGGTCCTAAGGAAGTGGCTGGCAACTAACCTTCAGAATTCCAAAGTTTCTAATCCAAGGCTTGAATTGCTTTTTATTATATAACTAGACAACCTGAGATATATCCTCACCTAAATAGAAAAACAGAATAACAACAGACAGGCAAAAAATCAGTGGGAGCAAGAGCAATTTTTAAGTTCCTGTTGGCTTCTCCACTGAACAGCCTGGTGGGAAACTGGCAGTGCGTGTCAGAAACCTTCCTTCCACCCATCCCCTGGCCTCCTCTCTATGTGCAGCATAATCACTTGATAGAGTTTGTTCATTTCTGCATAGGATGGTTTGTCAAACCATTATCAGGAAAAAAAAAGTTGGATAGTTCAATATTTCATTAAATCACTTTTATATTTAAGCTTAACGTCTATCTAGTGCAGGCATGTCAAACTTGCGACGTCACATGACATTGCACAATTATTGGAACTTTTCCCCCAGTTTTGGCGTAAAGCATCCGGCCCGCGGGTAGGCAGTTTGACATGCATGATCTAGTGTAATTAATTTATTTATTATATTTTCAGTCTTGACTCCTGCAGTTTTCTTGGGAAGGTTTTTCAGAAGTAGTTTGCCATTGGCTCTTTCAAGGGCTGAGAGGGATCAACTGGCTTAAAGTCACCAACTGACTTTGTGCCAATGAGGCAATTAGAACTCAGGGTCTCTTGATTTCTAGCCTGGTGCCTTAACCACTAGACCAAACTGACTCTAGATAATGAATGTATCATTTTTTAAAATATTCTGTCCCTTAAAATCATCCCAGAAAATAAATAAGTAAGTAAATAAGTAAGTAAATAAATACCCCCCCTTTCCATGATTGCAAAGTACTGTAATTTTTCCCCTCCTTTCATTTATATATATATTCATATAATATTATAGATCTTTTTATTGGCTTAGAAGCAAAGGTATTTATCAAAGGTTACAACACTACAGCATATACTCCATTATGATATTGCTCTTCTGTCTTTGTACTCTTATTCCTCTTTATGTTTATATTCTTATATTCTTACTACAACATAAAGAGAGGGAGAGAGATGGGGAAAAAGAGGAAGTGTAACATTAATTCCTTTAAAGATATTTTCAATTAGTAAATAATCATCTGTATGGTGGATCAATTTATTCATCTCCAATGGCTTCGTTTTAATTATAAGAATAAAGGTTTCTTATTTTTTTAACATGTATACATTATATACAAATAATAATAATAATAATAATAATAATAATAATAATAATAATAATAATACAGTAATAAAGTTGGAAGGGACCTTAAAGGTCATCTAGTCCAACCCCTTGCCCAGGCAGGTAACCCTATACCATTTCAGACAAATGGCTGTCCAGTCTCTTCTTAAAACCTTCCAGTGTTGAAGCATTCATAGCTTCTGGAGGCAGATTGTTCCACTGATTAATTGTTCTAAATATTAGGAAGTTTCTCCTTAATTCTAGGTTGCTTCTCTCTTTAGTTAGTTTCCATCCGTTGCTTCTTGTCCTGCCCTCAGGTGTTTTGGAGAATAGCTTGACTCCCTCTTCTCTGTGGCAGCCCCTGAGATTTTGGAACACTGCTATTATGTCACCCCTCGTCCTTCTCTTCATTAGACTAGACATACCCAATTTCAACAACTGTTCCTTATACGTTTTAGCCTCCAGTCCCCTGATCATCTTTGTTGCTCTTCTCTTACTCTTTCTAGAGCAAGGGTGTCAAACTTGCAATGTCACGTGATGTGTTGCAACATATTGCGACTTTTTCCCCATTACCGGCAATGAGTGGGTGTGGTTTTGGCATGGCGCATCTGGCCCACGGGCCGGCAGTTTGACATCCCTGTTCTAGAGTCTCAACATCTTTTTTACATTGTGGTGACCAAAACTGGATGCAGTATTCCAAGTGTGGCCTTACCAAGGCATTGTAAAATGGTATTAACATTTCACATGTTAATTGAGCATATAATATATGCTCAATAAATACACAAATTTCACAATGGGAAGTCTTACAGAAATCTATTTAATTTGGCATTATTTTAATACAAATTGATCCGGATTATCATAGCTTACAACAGCTCAAAAGACATTTTGAATTCATAGCTTTTACTCAAGTTATTTGCACTTTACATAGCATTGAGGCTTCCAATTACACAATTTATCAATGCTATTTTTTGTTTAATATTAAAACCACTCAGAAAACAAAATTGATTCTACAACACATTTATGTAAACAGTTCTGTCCTGTCCTTCTGGTACTTACTATATGCACTATTATTTGTGTGATGTCCCAACCATGGTAGCCTAAAATGCAGCAAATACATTAAAGGTACAACAGGCATCAAAATACTTTAGAAAAGCAATACTGTAAAAAGAATGATTAGAAAGAAAGCTTAACCTTTAAGTACATACACCCACACAAGCGCTGCTGCTATCATCTAAATGGCAGGAAAATCCTGTTTATGCATAAATGTTGTCTTTCAAATGGCCACTTTCAGGCAGATGGCTCTGCATTTTGGTTCTAACTAGTAAGATAATTCTGTTGTCGTGCAAATAAATCTAAAATACTGAAAACATGTTGATATTCACATGTTATATTTACACATTATAAATGTGTTTTCTGAAACTATTCCCATGTTAATGTCTTTTCATATTTAAGTTTTGCAGGTTTCTTGCTATTAAGTTTTCCCTCCCCATTTAGATAGGTGTTAAACACAGTGTTTGCTTCCTCATTTATCACACTAATGAAGGCTAATTGTTCATTTAAAACTTGGACTCAAGGATGAACTTTATGGCACAAAATTATCTTTCCCCAATCCAGGCTATTCATTATCATTTGTCATTGTCATTTCAGTCCTTCACTGAATTTGTCATTTGGATGTTGCTCCTATCAAAATCAGTCTGAATGGATATTTCAGGTAATCTTTCATATGAAATAACTTTTTCACATCATGTTTAAAGCAATTTGGATCAAATGCCAACCATGCAAGATAAAGTATGTCAATAGAAGAAGTGGAAGATACCTTATCTTTGGATAAACCTTGTTGATTGCAAGTAATTCCTCTGAAAAGCTAAGAATTCTCCAGATATCCAAAGACTATGAGTTATTTGTTTCCAATTTAAGTATCTGCCAGATCTTTGAAACTAAATACACAAATGAAACTAAATTTAACCATGATTATTTATATAGTCTGCTATTTTTTGTAATAAAGTACCTGTAGCTCATCAAATGTTATCTGAGAAAAAATGATGCTGAATTTTCTATTGGACAACAAAACATTTCTTCTTACATAACTAAGGACAGGAGATATTAAGATCTGAATATTTTAGCTAAATGCTTAACAGAAGTGTTGAGTCCGTCGCGAAATGGTAAGACACGAGAAACAGTTGTAGTTCTCAGGAAACCTTTTATTCTTCAGTTCAGCTTACATTGGAATATGGCGGCAACGCCCAACTCTCTCAGCCTCCTTTTATAGGCCTTTCCCGGGTCAATCTGCTACTTTTGGCGCGCCAGCACCCGCGCATGCGCACACGTACTGGCGACAGCCTGTCTGGTCCCGGGCAGCTTGCACCTGCCCGGGACCGCCTGCAATGCCCCGAGCCTGCTTGCAAGGCTCAGGACATAACACCCCTTTCCCCCGGGCTAAAACTACGACCAATGCAATAATAATACACAACCCACTCTTAGTACAATGCTCTGCTCCTCCGATGTTCGGAGTTCCCCCCATTTCCATTGCCTTAGTGTTTTCTACCCTTCTACTGGCTCTGTTTAGCCAATAGTGTTATGTAATCCTCTAAGTACTTAGGAGATTTCCTTGCTCTCTGCGACCTCCTAAGCTCTGGGTGTCTGACAGGTACCCCCTGACTGAGGGGTGATGTGTGCCTGTTCCCCTTGTTATGCCTTGGTGACTCCCAAGGACTGTGCTCCAATGCCTGGCCTGCTTGCTTGCCCACCGGGCTCGTCAGGCCAGGGCTTCTTCCAGTGTATGACCTGGTTGCCCCGCCTAGCTGTAGGCTCTCTGGCCCTTCTAAGTTACTGTCACTGTTGGGCGTTTCTGTAGAACCTCCTAGGTCCGTCCAAGACCTGTCAGGAGGCTGTCTATTCCCTGAATCCCGTTCTGTGTCCGGGCTTGTGTGGGTTTCAGTACTGTCCCAAAATTCAGTTGTCCCCTGAGTGTAGTCAGAGGTGTTGTAGTCAGGATTTGGTTCCTCGACCACCTCCCTGTGTGTTTGCCCCCGGGACAGGGTTGAAGTCAGGCCAACTAGGAGGAGTGTGTGCCAGCTCTCTTGCAGGGAATGGATTGTTGGGATGCTCCCGGGTATTCTCTCTGACTGGAGTACTGAGTGATGCAGGTGAAAAGTGATCATGCCCCCGGGGTGACTCCCTGGCTGGAGTAGGCATTGATGCCTGAGTTCTAGTTGGGCTCCATGACTTCCTGTTGGGAGCAATTGCGGAATTTTGGGATGGGCCATTTGTGGCTCCCTCATTGGTACAGGGCAGCATTCCATGCCCCTCCCTTTGCCCAAAGGGCTCCCCCTCCCCCCCCTGGAAAAGACCCAAGAGTCTCAGCGGGAAGGTCCCGTCTAGGGCGAAGTTGGTCAATGTGCTGACGCAGGACACGACCGTTGTCCAGGGATACCTCGTAGGATAGAGGACCTGTGACCCTGGATATAGATGCGGGGACCCATGTATGACCAGGCCCGTAATTACGAGTCCAAACCGGGGCACCCGCAAGTAGTTGCCTAGGTGCCCTGGGGTGTGAGACAGAAGGAGATAGTCTATCCGGATGCAACCGGTCAAGCTTGGTAGTCAGTTTGCGCCCCCAACGAAGTTCAGCTGGGCTTCTCCCTGTAGAAGTGGACAGTGTGGTGCGATAAGAAAGGAGGAAGTCAGCCAACCTGTGATGCCAGTCCCCGTAGGTGAGCCTCTTCAAGGCGTCCTTGGTGATGCGAACCATGCGTTCAGCCATACCGTTGGTAGACGGGTGGAAAGGTGCAGAAGTGGCATGACGAATCATGTTAGCCTGCAAGAAAGCTTGGAATTCGGAGGAAGTGAATTGAGGGCTGTTGTCAGACACAATGACGTCTGGGAGCCCGTGTGCAGCAAAAATCCCCCTCAGTACCTGAATAGTCTTTGCAGTGGTGGTGGAAGAGACAGGTACAACCTCAAGCCATTTTGAATGGCTGTCAACGAGGACCAAGAAGAATTGACCCTGAAAGGGCCCAGCGTAGTCAATGTGCACCCTAGACCATGGGGACTGTGTTTCCTCCCATCTATGCACAGGAGCTTGGGGCATTTCAGGGCGTGAACGTTGACAAAGGTGGCAAGCATGCACCTTAGCTTCTATGTCTTTGTCTACCCCTGGCCACCACAAGTGGCTGCGTGCAAGAGCCTTCATACGAACAATGCCAGGATGACCCTCGTGGAGGGAATCTAAGACCCTAGTCCTCATTGAGGTGGGAATGACAACCCTGCTTCCCCAAAGCAGACAACCCTGAGAGGTGGACAACTCGTTCCTTTTAGACCAGAAACTCTGAAACTCAGGACTAGGACAGTGCTCAGGCCATCCAGACAAAACCCAAGAAAGGACACGTGAAAGTGTGTGATCTGTGCCTGATTCAGCGGCTACATCCCTGGCATTCAGGGGGGACTCGGGCAAGGCTTGAATGGAGAGAATATTGATGGCTGGCGCGGGGTCAGCCTCTATTACTGGCAGGAGTAATTTACTGAGGCCATCAGCATGGCCCATTTCCTTCCCAGGCTTGTGAAGTAGGGAAAAATCATATGCAGACAAAAAGATAGACCACCTGAGCATCCTGGGGGAGATGATTTGGGGAGTTTGTTTACGTGTGGTAAACAGTCCCAGCAAAGGCTTATGGTCAGTGAAGACCGTGAATTGCCTACCATATAAAAAATCATGGAATTTTTTTAATTCCAGCAACAACAGCTAAGGCCTCCCTGTCTATCTGAGCATAGTTGCGCTCAGCTGCAGACAATGTCCTGGAGTAATATGCAACAGGAACCTGAGTTCCATCAGCCCTCAGGTGGCTCAGTACAGCATCCACCCCCTAAGGGGAAGCATCACAAGTGATTCACACAGGAAGGGACTCATTGAAGTGTACAAGTACACTGTTAGAAGTGAGTAAGGCCTTGATCTCATTGAAACTAGCCTCATGTGTTTGTAACCACTGCCACACTGCCTGTTTATCTAATAGCCTGTGAAGAGGCTCAGCTACACTAGCCTTATGTGGAAGAAAGGAATTGTAGAAATTCAGAAGGCCCAGAAAAGCCTGCAGTTCGGCCTTCGACTTTGGCCTAGGGGCTTGCATAATGGCTTTTAGTTTGGATTCAGCAGGATGAATCCCAGCAGCATCAATTTTGAACCCCAGAAACTCAGTAGAAGGTGCCCCAATTTTACATTTGTCCTTCTTGAGTCTGAGTCCCGTTTTCCTGAACCTTAACAGGACAGCCCTTAGCCTTTCAGCTAGAATGTGTGTGGAGTCTCCTGCAATTAAGACATCATCAAAATAGGGGCAAACCCCTGGTATACCCCGTAGTGTGTTTTCCATTACGCTTTGGAAAATCCCAGGAGCGACATTTACTCCAAATTGAAGTCTCTTTACCTTGAAAGCCCCTCTGTGGGTCACAATAGTCTGAGCTATAGCAGCGTCATCATCAACAGGCAGCTGTTGATATGCTTGAGTTAGGTCAAGCTTTGCAAAAACGCGCCCCCCCTTTGAGGGAGGCCAGGATATGACTGACCACAGGAACAGGATAGGCATGTTGCTGCAATGCCTTATTTAGAGTGCATTTGTAATCAGCACAGATGTGAATGTCCCCATTTGCCTTAAGAGGCGTGACAATGGGGGTCTCCTATGGACTGGAGTCAACAGGTTCTAGAATTCCTTGTTGGATCAGTTTGTCCAACTCAGTGACAATTTTACTCTTTAAAGCAAAAGGGACCCTTCTTGCTTTAATTCTAATGGGAGTGACTGTGGGGTCTAACTTTAATGACACAGGGGGTCCTTTGTATGTGCCCAGCTGGGGGCTGAAACAGTCTGCAAATTCTTTGCAGACTTCCTGTAGGTCGAGTGTTTGTAGGCTGTTGAGCCCTGTGACGTGTATCCCCAAGGCCTCAAACCACTCGAGTCCTATGAGACTCGTTCGTTCACCCTCTACTACTAGTAGGTCTAGTGGACCCTCAAAATCCTTATACTGTATGTTAAGGGTGGCCTCCCCCTTAACACACACTCTGGAGTTTTGAAAATCCGTTAGCACAATGTCAGAAGGCCTCAACTTGGCCTGGTTCCGCTGCCGGAACAAATCTTCCTAAATGTGTGCATAGAAATGATCGAAAGTGCAGACCCGGTGCCCAGTTCCATAGTTAATGGAACCCCTTGTAGCTTCACCTAGAGTGACAGCTTTTTCTTAATGGGCTTGTGTGTGCCTGTCCTGTAGATGCTTCTTCGTGAAGCACAAAACCCCACCCTATTCTGGCTGGGGACCCTGGTACCTTTCAGGCGCAATTCTTCCTGAGGTTGTACCTTCTGACGGCCCAGGCACACAGCTGCAATGTGTCCTTGTTTTCCGCACGCCCGGCAGATAGCGGAGCGGAACTTGCAGTCGGCTCTCTTGTGGCGACCTCCACAACCGATGCACTTGGGGAGAGCTGAAGAGCTTCCTCTTGGTTTTCCTTCCTTTGTGGGGTGGAGACGGTCCACTTCCTCATCCGGATCCTCCTCGGAGTTTCTTTGGACTTCTTCCTGGTGCACGGATGCAGCATCTGGACTGTTTCTGATCGGCCGCATGTTCTTGATGGCGCCGCCCGCTGCTTCTTCTGCGGTGACCTCTCTCAAGGCATCTTGGAAGGACAAGTCCTCCTTGGCGAAAAGTCTCTGTTGCAACTCTCGATGCCTT